AGAAACAGCTGAACCACTTAAGCAGAATATCTTACTTAAGGCCAGGGGTTGCCATGTGGCACGTAGACTACAGGTGAGATAGCTGATGTCCAGTGAATTTATTTAAAAGAACAAACCAACCCAAAACTACCACCATACCACTGAAAGAGCATTTTACCCTGAAATGTATCAGATGCATATTAAAGGTAGTGTTAGTTATTATATTCAGAATATAAAAATAGATGCAGTACACAGGTTGCAACATGTTCTGCCACAAAAGAGGCAGTGCAAATTTGTAGTTTTTGATTGCATGGGTAAGTTGGGTTTTTTGAAAGGTGGGAGCTTTAAAGTTTGCCCTGTCCTCTTGAAATTCAGTGGTACTTTTGCATGTAATCCTGTCAGTCTTTGAGAAAGATGAACCCCTATAGTACTTCAGGTAGAGTAGGAAAAAAAGGTTTAAAGAAACTGCCATTTTCATTCTGGAGAAAAAGTCATTGACAGACTAATTTTGTATTTATGTTGGACATGAAAGAAATTCAGTGATCCTCACTCCAAGCGCTGAATTAAAACCAGTACCTGAATTAGAGGCCATAAAGTTTGCTTTTGGACATTTAGCTGCTGACAGGAATGTTAAATGGTGAAACAACCTGTGAACTTAATGCTTTCCATTGTGCTGCTAAAACAATGGAATTTAATTCTTGGGGGTAGCACAAGGATTAAATACTGCTCTCAGGAGCTAAATGTTCATAGCTTAACTGTTTGAATACTTCATATGTAGGTTTTATGTGTTTTAAATGTTTTCTAGTGATAAATGGGTGGCATTTTCTCTGAAGTACCTAAAAATTGCTACATTTAAAATGTTGATAGTTTAGCAGCTCACATTATTTGAGGCATGACCATTCCAACGTCTGTATGTAACTTATCTTTGACAATATGCTGTTCATAAGAAGAAATCCTGATAATTTCACCAGTTTCTTGGGTCAGTTCTATTTGGGCCAGATTATTGGGCTTTTAATAATACTATTCTGATTTTTCCATGGTGTCTGAGGTGGCCAAGTTTGGGGGGGGGGGGCCAGCGGGAGGAAAGCGTCCTACTGTTACAAATGGAAGTGTGTCCAAGGCAGTAATAGTTTGGGATGTTCACGACCCTTTTTTTTTTTTTTTTTTTTACTAGTAAAATCGAATTAATTCTGATGCATATAGTGTTCAAACTACACTACATTGTTATTTTCTCCATTATGAAATCAGATTATGAGCTCCCTATAGTCTTCCTGTTAAACCCAGAAGTTGCTTTCATTTTAGTTAATTCCTAGCAAAAGTAATTCTGTGTCATAACAGCAAATTGTATTTTGCTATCAAGATCCAAGTATGAAAGGTGTTGGGGAAGGGGGTTGTGGGTTTGGTTTTGGTTTTTGGTTGGAAGTTTTTGTGGGCGTCAGGGGTGTTAATTTTTTTGTTAATACTACTGTTCAGCACACTACATAGAAAATACTTGCGTGTTAGGTATGTCCTGATTCATTTCACTCAAAACGTGAGTATCCGATACTTCATATTAGGAAGGAATATTGCTGAAGAAGCTTTCAGAACTTTGAAGTTTGATAGTTAAATTGAACCAAAACCCCTTTGGCTTTTAGCACAATGCTGCCCTCTAGTGGAACAGTGTTGCATTTAAAAAACCCCAAACGTTAGTAAGCAACAAGGTTTAATTAGACATGATACATGTTAAGCAGTGTATGTGGGTACTTGTATACCCATAGCAAAGTAGAAGAAAGTTTGAGAAAGCCACTTCTATCATCTGTGGTAGTTATTGCTTTGTGAAAGGTAGATAAGTTCTCATTGCATAGCTGTTAACTGTGGGTTAGTAGGATTTCATTCAAGGATTCTTTTGTTAACATCTAGTGCAAGCCAGCAAGGGTATCGAAACCCTTGCTACACATTGTTCAGGCTCTTCTTTTGGTTATTTGCTTTTGTTCCCTGCTTCTAGACCATGTTTTCTTCTCAAACCCTGTGATTAATATGGATATATGCAGATTAAGCTGGCATTCTTGAGCTTGTAACATAACCTGCTGTATTGATAAATTTAAGGTAGATACAGGGAAGTGTTGGATAGGCACCTAGTGAAAGGCATACTGTGCTGACTGGAATATGTTGAGTGTTGGGGTTTATGCAGGGAAGAGAAATGAACTTTTGGAATTTCAATTGCTGTAAAAACAAAAACAGAATCAAAGCTTTGATAAGGAAGTAAGTGTTCACTGTAGTAGAAAGAATAGGGTGGGAGGAGATTATTTGCCTGGGTATTTGTTTCCAGATCTCAGGTTGGATAGATGGGTGAGGTTTTGGCAGCCAAGTAATAAGCTTGAAGAACAGGAAAAACTGCAATGGACCTTGGATGAAACTTGTAAAAAGGGAAGAGTAAGTCCTGTAGCTTCTGTAAAAGAGTCCTACTGAAATCGTGGGGAGATCTGGAGATTTAAGCATCCCTTCTGTGGCTTTCATTCTCGGCTACCCAGAGGGATATAAAATAATATAGAATTGTAGTAAGGCTCAAGTTGGAGAAAACCTTTATGATGATGTAGTTCCACCCCCCTCTGCCATGGACAGGGGTGTCTCGCACTAGACAGCATGGTGCTTCTCCTGCTGTCAGCCTGCTTCTTAAAGGGGAAAATGTGGTAGCTGTGGCAAAATATTAATCTTGGAAAATGTAGAAAGCATGCTGTGTCAGTAACTTTGTTATTGTTTGTCTAACTTTACCAGCCACAGTGATCTGTTATGTTAATGTTAGTTTTTTGTTTGAATCAGACCGTAGACTTTCTGGTAACTGATCATGAGCAAAATTCATCTGTTTGAAGACCTTGCTGTACATTTCCACTAGAAATGCTCTTAAGTTTTAAATTACCACATTATGTTGTGATTCATGTTTATGGCTGAATTTCTCCAAAGTTAATAGCACAACATTGAAGGGGATTGCAGTTTGAATGACATGCAGAAATACTGGTGTGAAGAAAGCCTGTAAGTGAATACTTAAAAAACATGTCTGTCTTCAAGTAGCAATGTTGTAGATGTTTGAGAGAACATGTGACAGGAGGAGTTTGTTGCAGAGGCTTACATCTGCATTAAATCAACTGTTTTGAGCTTAAAGGAAGAAGGTAGAATAAATTTACTGGAGAACTGTGGCATAAATACTTCATCTGGAATGCTGTTAAGAGTCTGACATGGGTTTGAGGTCAAACTGGTCTGTTTATTTCAGTGTCATATCTAACTTGCTGATCAACTGTTTTCCAGAAAGTTTAGGCAACAAAAGGACTTGCAGTGCTGCCAATAACCATTAAGTATTTTGTGTATGGCATGTGTTGTTGGGGAAATACTGATGTTGCATAGATTAAAATTTTGTAGATCTCTATATTGGAGGGGGGGAGCAAACAAACCAACTGAAATAATAAAACTTACTCTGGCAGGTGTTCTCAGAAGTTAGGTTATTTTCAGTGTCCAAATAATCAAGGATTGTTACAGATCTTCAGAACTTATGAATGAAAAGCATGCCAAGTGAGAAAGATTAACCCCACCTTCCCCCCCAAAAAAAACCACAACCCAAAATTAAAGCAAAAAAGGACAAAACCCCCGAACACACAAAGAACCCCAAACCTAACTTTGAAGATGCTAACAGGGCTGTCCTTACTGTAGTTCTTTGAGTCTATTAACAAAGATTCTTGAAATATTTTCTAATACATTCATAATACATATTCCATGTAGGATGCTTTCAAGGTAGATAGTGAGGCAAGTAAAGAAATCGGTTCAGTACTTGTATAAAGCACTGTGGTTAGACGTTAGAAATCATCAGATAATGCCATAATCTGTCCCTGTAGGTAGAGAAATGAAAAAATGATAATTTTATCTACTGTTCATCAAAATGGGATGATGCAGTTGTTTGAACAAGTAGTAGAGCTTTAAAAGAAATTCCTTCATGTTGCAGTCCGTATTATATGCGGTAAAGTTTCTGTTCAGATGCTGCAGAATGGAGTAGCACAACAAAAAATAAAAAAAAAGTGTATTAACACCAGTTTTCTGGCAGTTATACTTAAAAAAAATTGAGGTGGCTAATGTGACTGTTTCATTCTGGCATGTTTTTAACTCTGAAGGTGTCTGATTTTGCCAAGCTATGAAGAACAGCTCTTAGCTGATGCTGAAAGAGGATGTTGATCAGAATCCTGTATTAATTCTGTACATTGGTATCTTTGGTGGAGGCCCTTAATTCACTGATGCAGTTGAAGAAAGTTTGTGTTAGGTGTGACAGATTACAAGATGACGTAACTCTTGCACTTAACTAAGTAACCAAGAGAGATATGAAACTACACAATAAAATGAAAACATTTGAAAGCTGCGAAGCCTTTCTCTGACATACACAGTGTGACTACCTTACAGTGCAAAGACCGAGCTTAAAGAAATCGGAGAGAACTGATGCAGCCTAACTTCAGATAACACCTTAACTTTGTTATTTAAAATGGAAAAAGGCCCTAATCTCTACCCTACATATAATGACAGGGATGGTTATGGTGTTCTTCAGACTTAAAGTAGGAAGTGTGAAAGGCAAGGCTGAAAAGCTGGTGCATTTTCATCTGTGGTAGATCTGCTTATTGTTGTTGCTTTTTTCCTCCTGATCATCTGTTATATAGTTCGGCTTTTAAGCGTTTTGTTTGGCCAGAGATACTTAACTGTCTAAATACTAGTCAATACTCCTAGGTGCCTGTAGGAAGGTATGCCTGAAGAGATTTTATAACTTTAACCTATTATTATTTCAGGTGCTTGAGTTTGCCATAATTTTGCTTCGAGAATTCAAGATTCTAATTTTTGGAGAGTAGTGTATTTTAAAGACAAATATATTTAAAAATTGAGCCTTGTGCCAGCTGCACATGTCAGAAATAGCTGGATCGTTTTAGTTGTTGAGGGACAATAGTTACAAATCTACCTGTTACTTAAAATAAATGCATTCACTTCTGTTTTAAAGCAATTTTATTTGTTTACAGGTGTCAGCTGTGATGCATGTTTAAAAGGAAATTTCAGAGGTCGACGATACAAGTGTTTGATTTGCTACGATTACGATCTGTGTGCAACCTGTTATGAAAGTGGTGCAACAACAACAAGGCATACAACTGACCATCCAATGCAGTGCATACTAACAAGAGTAGATTTTGGTAAGTGATAACTTCAGACTAGTAATTTTGCTGCTGTGTTGTTGTCTACAAATGTAATATGGATTTTCATGTTACTATCACTTACTAATGGTGTCCCCCATTAGCTTATTAAAAGTAAGTTCTCTCTTTAAAAGCAGGCATGTTTTCTTTGATTTTAACACGGAAGAATTGGCTTATATATTTTTAAATTGTTTCTTCTGCACTAATCTTATTTTGGCCTGATAACAGCAGGTTATCAGATTAATAAATATACTTAGTGACTATTCCTCATTAATTTCCAATTTAGATTATGTGGCAACCTTCTCCCCACAGTATGCTTTGTGTAAGTGCCACAGTGTACAAGCAGAAAAATCCAAGGAAGATTTTGTAGGAATGTTATTCACTGGAGGTTTATGTGGGACCGTAGGTATAGCCAGGTAGCGATGGGCGGTACTGAGTATAAAAGCTCAGTGTCCAGGACTAGCATGTAATCTTTGTGAACTCCTTTGAAGATACACTAACTTAAGATTTATTTCTGACTATAAATCCATGTCAGTATTTAAAACTAAAAAAAAGTTACTCTAACCTGCTTGTTGCTTCTATTGCATCATATTTGTAACAGGTTGTAATTTAGGAGATATTTCTGTGACAAACCACTGCTCGAAGATGTTGCTGATTCTGAATGTGTATCTTGGCTTTATGCTAAACCTGTGGGGCTGACATTTTAATGATTTATTTTTTCCTGATTCTGGTTGTATTATTCTTTGTTTAGAAATATTTAAATATGGTGATTTCCTAAAAGCTGAATGCTTATTTTAAATTACATCTTTACCTTTTTGATTAAAACAAAAGTAAAATCTAATTTACTGTGTTAAAGATTAGAGAATAGGTATGTATAGAAATATGCAGTTGGTTTCTCAAAACAGCCTTTGAATGAGGATGTACTTATTTTTTTTTTTTTTTTTTAATTCTCAGGCCTTTGCTTGCTGTCAGACTGCCTGGTCATGACTTCAAAAATCCATGCCCTGGGAATCCAGGGTTTGGAAGAAAATAATTCAGTGCATTATAAACATGCATGATGCCATTTTAGCTTGGGCTTTCCTTTTTTTTTTTTCTTTTTTTCTCAGTAATAAGGTAAAATTCTGTATACAGAATATTAATTCAGGATTGTGGCACTGTTTTAGATGCAGAGTTCAAACTTCACCACTTAATAACCATTATTCTTGGGTCTTGCACATGGGCTAAAAGGACAGCATTATTGTAAACATTAAATGCTCATCATAGGGACTGAAACATGCTTGCTGTGAAGCCGTAAGGTAACATTAAAGGTCAAAACTTTCAGTCTACTACACTGAGAAAGTTTGTTTTAATTTCCTTAAAAATGTGTATCATTAGAACAGAACCCAGGAATGCCTAGGAATTTTTTTTTTCTTGCAACTTGGATGTTTCTCTTTTGGAAGTCTTTGATAAATGGTCTTTTGCTTTAATACATGTTATTTCTGTATATTGTGGGGGTTATTTTTTACTATTTAAGTATGCATGAATAATACAGACGGTGAGGTGGAAGAAGGGTCACAGAGATGTATTGAGGTGGGTAACAGTATTCTGAGGGTTATTTCTGCATTGCTTGGTGTTATGCTTCTGTGGCTTTTTAAATAAGAAGTAAGCAAATCTGTAGAAATTTCATATGCCTTAATTATCTGAGCATTGCTTCCACAGAACCAGTGCTGGGGATAAAAAATACTGCAGCTCAGCTCTGCAGCCAGACTCCTGGTTTGATTAACACTGTTAGAATAAGAACAGCAAAGAATACATCACCACCAGACTGTGAACCACAGCAAAGCTTGATGGCACTCAAGTACTAGTGGCCTTGTAAGCTTATATACTGGAGAATGAATAATAGGATATTCATAAATAACATACTCCTTAACGCTCAGAAAGATCTGTGACATCATTCTTAATGCTTTTATTTTACAGTTCCTTGTAGAATGTATGACATAGAGAACTGTTCTACTGTACTGCACAAATACTTAGAGGAACTATGGACTTTGTGTAGCCAAGGGAATCATGTGAGTTTGAGGAACAGCCAAAAAATTAGGAGCTAAGGAATGCTAAGTTTAATTAGAAAATCAACAATAAGTGATAGAACTAGTCTAGAATGACCCGTTTCAGAGTTGTCAGGATAACTGTACTAGTGAATATTAAAAAATCACTGAAGAAGCAGATTTTAGTGGGTTACAAGAAAATAATCCCTGCAGGAAGATTGGCAATGTAAAACTAAATAGCATAGAAGTAATGATATCAGTTACTTCCTAGTGACATGGGAAGTCAAATGAGAGAAGAGTGTTTCCTAATGTATGAATGACAGTATGAGTAGGGAGTTTTGCTAAGTACTTAAGTAAGGAAAACTTCAGTACAAACACAGAATGAAAGGCTGTTAGTATAAGTAGGTGTGTAAATTGTCAATGGCCAAGTAAACTACAAACTTCAGTACTGTTAGATTTGATTCAAAAGTATGAAAACTTCTGAAAACAAACAAAACCCCAAAGGCTTCTAATAGAAGTAAAGTTACAGTTTTTGCTGTTGTTGAGAAGTAGATAGGTAGATGAGTATTTTACCAGCAAGAAGGAAGCAGACTGGGAGAATCCTTCCATTGCAAAACTGATGCAAACAATTCGGAGGAGGTCAGTGTTAGTTTTATGATTTTAGAAGTGTGTGTGGGCATCAGTGAGTCATTTGCTCAAGGTGCACCCGCAGCTGACAGGACCCTGTATGTCTAGTTCCCATCACCTTTCTGGCCAGCACTGTCTACATGGAGATAACTGCAGAGTTTGCTTGTACTCTGTGCTTGAAGCTGTGACCAAGTTCAGGTTTGTAGTAGATGGCTAATCACATGACACACTGTCTGAGATTGCTTCAGTGTATTAAAGGTTCACAGATTGTTTACCTCCATGAAAATTCTGATCAGTGTTAAGGGTTCCTGGGTACTGTAATAATGTTAGAGTACAGAGCAAAAAGATGGACTCTTTCATGTGCTCTGATGGAGCTTTTGTTGTCATCCTGATATTTTTTGATGTATTTTCTTTTTCTCCTTGAGACTCTGGATTGGTATAGGAGCCCTGTATGAGAACACTGAAAACAAAAAGCCCTAGTAATTTCTGTCTACACATGTTCACTCTTGTACCGTCTGCTTGGCATATTTGTCTTTCAGGAGCCAATGTCTGACCCAGTATTAATTTTGAAGCAAGATGTGATCCAGAACAACAGCAGTGCTTTTTGTTCTTCAGGCCCCAGAAAATACACTGGAATAAATACTTTAACACATACACCAAGAGTGATATGCTGCTGTAACAGGGACAGAGCTTAAAATAAAGTATGAAGTCTCATATGTAATGACAAGTGGCCTTTAAAGCACAAATCCAATTAGCATATTTCTTAGGGGTGAAAGAGTAGAATTCTAACAAGCCTACATAAAGAACAGGAATGTGCTTACAGGGCAGTCATTTTACATCTATGCTTTTTGTAGGACACTTCGTCAGGAGAATGGAGAAGTTCAGAGCAAAGTTCAGTTTTCTTTTTCCCTAAAAAGAATCCTAAGCTGTTAGGATGCTTTATGATTTTAAGTGTGTGGCTTGGACATTACCCCTGACATTTTAAAGGCGTTATGCTGGCAAAGAAAGTAATAAAATTTTTCAGTAGTATTCTCTGCCAAAATTGTATTGCTTTTATTGAAGTACAGAACAAATGTACCCTTACTTGTCAGCTGAGGTGCTTATGTGTACCTTTTGTACTTAATTCTTAGCCAAAGGGAGTGGCTCAAATGGTTACCTTGATACTATGTAGTGTGAGGTCTAACTGGATTCACCAGAACTTGGTCTGCAGCTTTTGTGGTGTATTTTTTCTTTCAGTCACTAGAACAAGTGCACATCTTGTTAAGTGCATATGTTGCCAAGTCAGAGCATCACTGAATACTGTGGTTTGTGTGGAAGGAGACCCTAGAGGTCATCTGATTCAACCTTCTGTTGGAAGCAGGAGCATAAGTTGGGCTTTCCCATCAACCCAAGTGCTGAATATTTCCCTGAAGGGATGTTTCACCACTTCTGGGTCACCTGTTCCAGTGTTCAGTTCCTACAGTGAATATTTTTTTTCACTCTGAAGCAGCTTGTGCCAGCAGCCTGTACGATGCTTTCCTTTGAAGGGCATACCTCCATTTCCTCCGCATCTACAGTATAAGAAGTTGGAGATGAGATTCATTTTGAGCTTTCTCTAGGGTGGATGAACCTCATTTCTTCAACTAATGTCAAGTTCTCCAGCTGTCTGGATGGACACAAATGTGTGTGCATGCTTGCAATGCAGAAATACTTCCTAGATCCTCTCAAGTTTATTTCAGTACCTGTCTTGATATAGAGAGACCAAAACTAAACCCTGTATTGCTGGTGTTGCCTAACACGTGCCAGGTAACATGGGGTAATCACATCTTTTGATTTGATGGCTGCTGTCTTACTGATTTAGCCCAGACCATCATTTGCTTTCTGTGGTGCAAGGGCACAGCGCTGGCTTATGTCTGGCTTATTGTACACTGGGATCCCCTTGTCCATTTCAGCAGAGCTGTTTCCCAGCTCACTGAACCCTGCCTTTGAGCAGCAGCTGCTGTTTTGGCACTTACCAGTATTGTCAGATGAGTTGCAAATCCTCTCTTGTTTTCATTAGCATCTGTGCTTGATCATGGCTTCAGCATGTGGTTCTTGCTGTTGGGGAGCAGCAAGACCAGGGCTGTTCCATAAGGGATAAAAAGCTAGAGCTGAGAGCAACCACAGCACAGGCAGGGGAATGTCCTCACTGTCAGGGTGTGCAGGGCAGGGCTGGTAACAGGAGCAAGTCCTGTTGACAAAGTCGACAGACAAAGCAAAATACAAGTTAATGAGATCTGTGCAGGAAAGCCATCTAAGGCAGGAAGAGGGCTGGGAGCTGCTGCAGCACAGTTCATGGCCAGATTGTCAGAACTTACATGTAGCCCATGG